TGAAGTTGATTGCTAACTTGCAACCTTCCTGCTGCCTTTGTGTAACATCCAAGAGGTTGGCACACTCGGAGAATATTACCCTTCCTAATGGGCTCTGAGGCAAGGGAATACACCAGGATAAATGCACCATGAGCCAAGGCCCTCTTCAGAGTATTGTATTTTTCTTTACTTGGATATGGCACCCATGTGGCCTGAGAGGGTGCGCGAAGGTGAAATTTCTCTCAAGATGTGTCATTTTCTAAAGGCCATATTTCCCCTAACCCCATTTCCCTGTTGCAGTGGGGATAGTTTTCATCTCCTGTCATCACCAGAAGCACTGAGAGATGTTGAAATCACTCCTTGGACGAAAGCATTGTATGGCAAAGGAAGAATAATTGCAGTGACACCGCAGGGAGAGCAGATACGTCTCCTTAAAAAGATTTTACAGCCTCATTTGCATTTAAAAAAAAAAGAAACTTTTTTGTTAGAAGCAGCAGGGAAACATCATGAGAAATTCAGCAACTCAAAATATTGCCAAGGGTCAAAAAGAAAAAGGGTTAAAAAAACCAGTCCTACCAAACGACTTCTAGTTCAAGCAGCAAAGATTGTACGTAAGGGAATGACCAGCCTGGGGCTGATGCCACTCCCCTCTCCACTGTAAGAAATTAGAGGGGCTGGTAGGCGTTGCCCCCGAGCCCAGCCAAAGCCTCATTTCTGGAGAAGGCATAGACCTACCCCATCCTTCATTAAGCCTCTCTGCTGGGATGTGGTACAGCCAGAGGCAGTCATGGCCAAGACCTGCATGGTGGACCTCATCGTAACAGTGCCACGTGCCCCGAGAGCGGATGCAGCACAAGCCAGAGCTGCTTGTGGTGATGGTGATGGTGGTGGTGGTGGTGGTGGTGGTGGTGGTAAAGAAGGACTGAAACTTTGTTTTAACTGGACACCTGTGTGTGATTGCAGAGGGGTTGAGTTTATGAGAGCCCATTGGCACTGATTGGCAGAAGAACAACCAGCACCTTTGCAAAGAGCAGGTATGGATGTGACCAAAATGACCCAACCTATTGTTCCCCCATATGGGACAGGGTTGGTTCAGACGCTGCAACCTAAGCGTACCCAGGTCAGCTGGTAGCAACCATTAAATAGTGCTGGGCACACTGCGCTCCTTCTTCCCCCTCAATGTATGTTAAGAGGACATAGGAAAAGCATGGACTCTGCTAGCAGTGCCTGGAGAATTTGGCATTGGATCAGGCAGATTTCCATTCCTGTCAGGAGCACAGAAACAAAGAAATGTTTAAGAAAAGGAGGATCCCTTTACCAGGTGGAACTGAGCCAGGCTTCTCAGCTCTACGCACAATTTTAGCCCACTGCAAAATTACCACTGCTCACCCTCCTTCTTCCAGCAAGTGATGGGATGGCAGAGGCTGGCAGTATGGATTCCAGGTGAAAAATAAGCAGCAGCAGTATGCCAGGGCTTTAATCACATCTGTATGAAATGTGATTTTTCCTCCTTGCCAGACGTACTTTTTTTTTTTATACAGACGTTAATGCTCATGGAACAATATTTGATCAGCCTTACTTTTCAGGCTGGATCCCTGCCTGTTTCTCTGGCTGAGCAGCCCGAGGTTTCCTCTGCTGCTGCGGCCAGCACTCGGCAGGATTTGCGCATTCGCCGCTGCGTGCAGCCGGGGCGAAGCGCAGGCAGGGTCTCTAACGCACTGCAGTGGAGCCGAGTCGCTTCCGATGCGGCTGGCTCAGCCTCCTCTCTGCCATCCCCGGCTGGTTCATTAGCATCAAACTGTTCAAAGGGATGTAAATTAAATTAGATTTAGGTCAGAAACATATTTTAAGCAAAAATACCTATTATATTTAAAGTATTTTGTTCAGAGACTCTCTGTCTGCTGCTTCCAGGATGGTTGCACGACCACTTACTGTCCTTAATATGTTTTTTAATGATAGAGCAGGCACATCCAAAATCCAATTCTTGTTTAAATATAGATTAGGTTCATTCTTTCTCTCCCATCTAATTAATGCTGGTACATAAGAAACCACCTTCTGGCAGCTCATTTAGGTAACCCAAACAGGCAAAAGACCAGATGTCCCTGGGTAACTTTGAGAGAGAGAAATAGCTCTGCCATTGCGAGTGACGGGGTTGTAGTCCCGGACAGCCCGGCGCTGCCGGTGCTCTGCTCTCTGCTAGGAGGGAGCCGGCAGGCAGGCGGGCAGGCAGCTTTCCAGGAGCACCAGCAGTCAGACATCGCTCCCCACACTTTGGGCTGCTGCTTCTTTTAGGCAGCGGCCTCTCCGTGACTCTCTGTGCAATCACCTCTTCAACAGCTTCAAGCATCTGGCTACGCCTCCCATCAAGACTGTATGAGTGATGATGTCCTCGGACTTTTATATAAATATTGATCATGATTCTGGAAGCAGCTCAGCAGACAGGAGCTACTCTTCAGCCCCAGCTCACGCGCTCCTGGAGAAGAGGCTCTGTTGACTCACGGTCAATACGCTTTTAACCGGAGCGTACCGTGATGCTGAGGGATCCTTGGCTGCCCACACTCATACCAATAGTCCAAAGGCCTCCTGCAAACCAGCCAGGAGTGCGGTTACCTCGCCCAGGGCTTCCAAAGGCACACAGCAACACCGTCCCTGGAGCAGCCCGGAGCCATTTTTTGCAGCACTGCCCCACCACCACCTCTGCCCCCTCCAAGGGATGGAGCCCACAGCCCCCCTTGTTAATGCCGACGCACGCCAGGGCAGAGGAGCGGGCCTGCTGCCGCCTCTCATAGAATCATAGAATCACTTTGGTTGGAAAAGACCTTTAAGATCATCGAGTCCAATGCAGTCTCCTCCACAGCCCAGCCAGGAGAGTGCAGGGGGCAGCCCGCTGGCTTGCCCCACTGACAGCAGGCCTCGCGTCCTTCCACCCACTCCTAAAACTTTCCATTTCCATGAAGGCTTTGTCATGCCTTTGATTCCTGAGACAATTTTCTCTCTCCTCCCACAGGGCCGCAGTGGGAGACAGAGACCCAAGCACAGCTGGCTGCCTCCCCCCCCCGTCCTGGCCCTGCCAAACTTCCTCACAGCATGCCCCGGCACTGCAGGCACCACCGAGGCAGGGCTCCTTAGATGTCTCAGGGAGGAGGCGATGCTACTTTTCCGCCCTTCCTCCAGGGGATCTTCAAATCCCTGGAATCTCACAGAGCAGCAGTCTGCCTAATCTGAGTCTGTTTGAAGGAGGCAGCAACACAGGAAGAGTTGGACAGACAGGGATCCCCTGATGGAAGAAGCAGATTTTCAGGAGCTTAGTGGAAAAGATTAAAACATTCCAGTTTTCCAGTGTTGACAACGATCTTCCCCTCCACCAGCAGCTTGGCTGACCTGCTCTGGCCTGCTCTCCGCTGGGCCAGGGAGGATGCCGCGCTACTGCCGTTTCCCTGCCCCGCAACAGGAGCGGGGGCAGAGGCAGCTCCCGCACGGCTGGGAGAGGCACCCGGCTCCTCTGACCTTTGGGGAGAGGAGTATGAGCAGTGTGAGAAATGTATTTTTCTTTCCAGCCTGAGCTGCAGTGGCCTGGCCTCAAGCGCACTTACCAGATAAAACACGCTGTAGGCTGAAAGCAGACACAGAAACCGGTTTGAATGGGGCTAGACCTTGCATTCACCCAGGAAGGCTTCAGCGTTCGACCACGCTCGGGGTGTTATTGGGTTAGCGTTAATGCAGCACATCTGGTCCAGCAGCCAGAGGAAATGGCTGGGGCCTTCCTCGGAATCGATGGCTTTATCCCTTGCGCTAGCACCAACCTGCTGGTGGTGGCTGGCTTTGCTTGCGGCAGGGGCCGGCCTTCCTCGGCCTGCATGCAGAGCCCTGCTTCAAACGCAGAAAAGAACAGAAAAAAAGGTGCTATTGATTGTATGCGCTCCTGTTCATTCAAGCAGCGCTTGTCATAACAGGGCAGTCGCAGCGTAGAGTTTGTTCTTCGACAACAGCCCTCAGCAGCTGGAACGGAGCAGAGCAACCATCCTTTCCCAGAGCCAGAAGCTGTTAGAGGGGGCAGGAAATGATGATGGCATCTGCTTGCATGTCTTGACCTCACCAGTCCTCCTGAGGGCTGCATGCGGTGGATGAGAGAGGGAAGGCACACGCCCTACCAAACACCGCAACGATTTCCTCACATGCAGGATGTGCCTTGCTGAATGACAAAAATTAAACCACTGTACATACATAATTAAATGTACTTATTAAGTAATACCACTACTTTATAGATGAATATGCTGGATAGAGATGCAGCATCAGTGCTCTTATAGTAAAACCCAGTATTTCTTCACTTAAGCTTTAATAAACCTACAGCTTGATATTGCAGGCTAAAAGCTCAGTTATGAACTACTGGTGAGTTATGAGCATGAGAAGTTGTACTGTACTCATGCTTAGGTCTCCGTTTCTGTCTTTGGCTCCTTGTAAATCCACCGGCCTTCCTCCAGTGCTAACCTTGAATTCTACCAGATTAAATCTGGAGAGAATTGGTATGGCACTTTTTGCCTGCTAGCTGATCACTGAATCTGACTTGCCAGCTCTGTGGCTTGGTATCTAGGCGCTTGATACCAGATCTTGGGAGTCTGTCTACACCAGAGTACCATTTTAGCTAGCAGTACGATTGTCTGCGAGACCTCCGCCATCAGCCTACGCTTCCCTCGAGAAAGGGGGAAAGGAATGGAAGTGCTGATCGAAAAGGGCCTCCCACAGCACCAGTGTAATGAAACATCCTTCCGGGAAGCACAGGAGATTCCAGGAGGCATTCAAGGAAGCTGCAGTGAGAAGAAACAACGTGCAGTGGGATTTCAAATAGTCCTTCCCTCAAAGCAGAGCCTCAAATTCTTTGTTTGTTTTTAATGAAGTAAATCAAAATGAGAAGCCAACAACATTCCCAACTAGACACAAATTGGAAGATGACAAAGGGGAGAAGTTTCTGTTTATTTATTCCTCTTTAAAATGACTTAAAAGCAAATTTAAAACACTATTTAAAAAAAGAGGGGATTCAAAGTATTGGGAAGCTGAAAATAAAACCACAAAGGAGGCATGACAAGGTTAGCAGAACATAGAAAGCATAGTTGGTTAGTATAAAACAGATTTACAGCCTCAGTGAACAGCAAATTGATGCTGCCTATGTAAATGGAACAGCACGTAACACTGCCCCTACCCTCTGGAACACAGAATTCTTTTATCATTTTATTTTATTGTAGTACTGGATAGGAAAACACAACAATTTAGAAAAACAACATTTTCAACTGGAAAACATTAAAAATTTGATATTGCTCTGTAGGCACTGATAAATGTTTTTCTATGGTAAAAGAGTGTGCCAAAGCAGAATTCAAGATTGCATAATTCCTGTTAAAATGATACAGCCCTGGTGTGACTGCAAATAAAAACTAGCTATGCTGTTTCTCTGGCGCTGCCTGACTGCGGCTCTGCCCACTACGAACCATCCGTCTGCAACACTGGAGTCTGGACAGGGCTAGGCAGAAGCAACAGGCAGCAATACTGGAAAATGAAGGTATCTCCTGGTAAGTCAGAGTGCTCTGACAGCTCAGATCCGTGGAGGGCTTTAGTTACACTGACAGAGTGTGACTGTGCATGCTCGCCAAGGCTTTCATGCTGCGTGTTTTGAGTTACGCCTGACCTTGAGGTGCTGAGATACGGTAAGGAGCAAATGGGAGCAAGAAAAGGTTGCTGCCTACAGGCCTGCTTAGAAATGGCCACTCCGGTGGCCAGTGGCTGCTGGCAGGAGGTCAGCTACAAGCCCTGCCCAAGCTTGCCATCAGCAGACAGTGCTTCCCTCTCCCCTCACAGAGCACAGGCAACTGTAACATCACTCACACCCTCCTCTGCAGAGCACTCTGATCAGACTACAGAGCCCTTATGTCCCCTGAGGGCAGGGATGTGGGCTTCATTAGGATCTGCAACAAAAATCAACCCAAAGCAATCGGGGGGGAGGCAGCTGCTGGGGCCTTGGAGAGGGTTAAAGCAGTGCCTGGTGCAGGGCACCCTGAAGCAGATTTTTACCTTTGAAGCATCCTCACTTCTGAGACTTGTCCTCCCCTACCTGTTTTGGCACATGAAGCCTTCCTGCTCCCCCTCTCTGGTGGACAAGATGCCTGAGACTAGCAGTCCCGAGCCCCAGTGTCCCTGCGCCCAGGGGAGGAAAGATGCACTTCAGTCTTCTGTTTTACTAGGGAGTCTCTGGCTTAAAAAGTCACTTTTTAAAAAATGCCATGGCAAGAAAAGGTTAATCAAACATATCCTCAAACATGCGTCGCCCCATGGCTATGTAAACCTCTTTTTCTTCCGGCGTCATCTGGGCCACCAGCTCAGGGCGCTGGCTTACTTGGCTGTAAGAGTGCGGACGCCCGGCCACTGTGACAGTGGGGTCCTCTGCCACCACCTCAAACTCTTCGTCCTCCTCCTCATCCTCCAGCCCATACGTTGTGGTGGCCGTGGCAGCAGGGCGGGGAGGGGATTCCTCTTCCGACTCGCTTGTCTCGCTCTCGGAGTCACTAGCGTTGGCACCGGAGAGAGGAGCGGCACCTCCGACAGTGACTGTCGAAGCAGAAGGTGTCTTCTTCTCATGGATAAGCAGGGCACGCATCACCTCCTCATTATCATCCAGAGCTGCCCGGCCCTCCTCACGCTCCTGGAAGGTATCCAGATCCCGGCCCCCTGCAAATGGACACAAAGGAATGATCATTTTGTCACAGAGACCTGGGTGACAGCCCTGAGGGCTTTCTGGACCCATATTAATTACTGCCACCGAGCATGCTTGGCCAATTCACATTCTGTCTCTTTGTCAGCCCCTCCTCTCCCTTAAAAGACAGAGATATTTATGTTTTTTCTCGTAACAGCAGAGCAGGTATTGTCATTTCCTAGGAGCTGGGAGGCCTGGAGTCACTGTGGCTCCCAGCTGGGAGACTTGGCCAGGAGCACTTTGCAAGAGAAGACAACTTGTGATGAGCAGGGGCCTGGAAAAGACCCTCCAGGGAGGTGTCCAACTCAGGCACTCCTCAGGTGGGCTGATGCACTCCCTTACTGTGGAGCAGAAAGCAGCCCTTGGGACCTAAATCTGGGCTTCCAGATACCCAGACTGTGCACCTAATGATGACACTTTGTCAGAGGTACAGCAAGTATCTTGGTGCTGGTGAACAAGCACAGGCAGTTTCCTTTTTGTCCTTTTGTTTCCAGGTTATACAACTGCAGCCTGGAAGACTCGCTGTGATGACCAAAACCACGGAACGTTGCCGGCACAGACCATAAACACAGACCCAAACCCAGGCCCTGCCGAGCTCCCCATCTTATAAGGATGAAGACGGAGAGGCAGATGAATCCAGGCAGACAGGGAGTACGCGGAAACCACGTGTTACAAAACAACATTCAAAGTAGCCGTGGCTGGTAAGCTCAGAGGTGGACCTACCAGGCAGAAAGGGGAAAAGCTCATTACTGGAACGTGGTGGTGGCGAGCAGGATCTCTCTCGCGGAGCAGATGCAGCTTACAGCCTGCAGCCAAAGCTGCGCAGTGCAGCATGGAAGGCTGTGTTAAAACAGCTCCTGCTCTCCAAGCTGCAACGCAGCCCAGCCAGTCCCTCTGGCTCCCTACCCGGACCCCTTATTTGAAGGGGACTGCAGTTTCCCAGCTGACAGACACACGGCCTGTGCTCCTCTTCCAGTAAGCCTGGCGGTGCGATAGCTGGCAGGGTTTGATGTGGCTTGGGTAGGCAGGGTGTCTGCAGCTCAAACGGATTCAAAAGGTAAAATTCTGTTCAAAAAGTGGCATTCTGCAGAAAAATTCTCCTAATCCTACATTTGATGAGAAGACTGTGAGTCCACCTAGCATCAATAAACCTACAGGCAGTATGGAAAACTAAGAAAAAAACCCAGAATGAAAAATGAAACACAGAGAACCTTATGTAAAAACAAGGCCTAAAAAGTAGGACAGACTCCCCATGGCACACGTTCTCTCTTGCACCTAAAGATGCCGCCTATGAACAATTCCTGGAGCTGAGGTGACGGCATTCTGCCTTCACACGTTAATGCCACTTGCCTGCTTCCCCATGACCTGGACACGCATGGTTTCAGCACCACATCCAGGTAGTTGGCACCCAAGCCTATCCCCCAGGGTCAAAAATGCACTGGTTACTTTTTTCAACTTGAGATGAAAAAAATGCTGAGAAACAGGTAAACTAAAGAAGTAAGTTCTGCATTAAGCACTAAAAGCCAGGGGAGTTTGTGGGCACTCCTCTCCTGCGGTAAAATAAAGGCCAAAAGACCCACCCCTAGCTTCACTGGACCCATGTTTTTATTTTAAATGAAGTTGTAGTAATGGGTGATGGCTGCAATATTAATGCACTGGCAAAATTCTTGGAAGAAAGGAAGAATGAAGGCATTGTTCTGGCAGCCTTGTGCTCTGTTGCTCGTGACTGTGGAGCATAAGAGGCTATTGGAGAGCATCTCTATGAGATAGGACATCACACGGAGAGCTGTGAAGCGACCACAAACTGGGGTAGCTCCACAGTCTGACTTTGTGGCTCAGGAGCGGGGCTGTCTCTTGCTTCCGAGAACTGTTCCTGCCAGATCCAAGCAGTGAATTGTTGCTGTCAACAGTCCCAAGTTTCCCTCCTCCCTGTTTATGCCGTACAAGAGCTACAGAAATGTGTTGCAGCCGCAGTTTCAGGCTGTTTCCACAAGTCCCCTATTTGATCTCCAGCAGCAGTAGAGGTTAAGCAGTGATGCCATCGTGCTGCAAGGAGATATACTCCCCCTCCATGTCCTTCAGTGGCACCTGAGAAAACATTTATGCTGTGTACACAAAAAGTCATCTCAAGGAGCCAATTTAAAACTACAGGTGAATTGAATGTCTAGCAGAAAAATGGAGTGAGAACTCACCATGGCTGGTGAATAACAACAACATCTGCTACACACTGCAGCAGGAGGTTGTTTCAATCACTTTGTTTTATCTGTTTGGAAAAAGTTCTGGGATCCGTATGCTTGAAAGGTGTTACATGTAAACAAGATCATTAGATATCTTCTGATCCTTATTTCACAACCATTTTCTTCACTTCTGCTGTACGTAAATACTCCACTTCTCTCCTGAGCATTGCACTGGCTCCAGGGTCTCATGCTTACACATGCGGTTCCCTTTTGCCATCATTTTCTCCTCCTAGCGCATCAACAGTTTAATTCTATAATCCTCAAATGACCTGGAAGATTGCATCTATTGATTCACTCTTGTAAAAATCATAGAAGGTCTCCATTTCCTATTTTTAGTGTGCAAGCACACTTAGCAAAGTGAAATATTTCTACTAGTGGTTACCAGGCCTTGACTACTGTCTATGGACAACCAGACCCCAACATGAATGAAAATAAAAGCAAAGATAATGAGAAACAAACAGAAAGCAATAAGGACTCGCCTGCCATGGTGACAGACCTTCCTACTGTACTTCCAGAAGCTTTACTTCTGACATATTCTTCACACAAAACACATTTTGAAATACAATTGGCAAGAAGGTGGCTGGGAGCACAAAACCACTGCTGGTAGATTTGGTAGGCTTCAGAGTGACCGAATGTTAATAGATGTTATTTTTCAGCAGTGACCTATTGGGTGGGCAGCTTTCTAGATGAGATGGAAAGACCTTTGTCCAAAAGCAATAAACTCTCAAGGTGGAAGACGTAACAGATAATTAACATTTTAGAAGCACAAATAATTTTGTGGGTAACTCAGCTTTACTGACCTAGATTTCAATCCTGGATCTAATAAGCCAGGATTTTTTACATCTACCTACACACAGGTGCTTTGCACAGCAGAGGGGAGCAGACAAAATCTGGAGTGTAGGGAGCAGCAGCTGTACACACACAGGGGAACATATTTTTGAACAGCACTCTAACAGTATCACGTAAGCAGAGCAGTACTTCTGCTCTGTGAATTTTCTTACCGTCTTTGATTTCATCGGGGTCATAAGCCCCCTGCACCGTGCTCTCCCGCAGCCAAATTGGTCTCTCTCTGGCTGGCTTTCCTTCACTTGCAGACCGGTTAAGATCCTCCTGGTCCTCCATGCTGATGACAACGTTCTGGGTATACAAGTCCTCATATGATGGTCCTTTTGTAGTCCATGCTTCCCGATGGTGGCCACCTGCAAGGCCAGCTGCTGTCCCTGAACCAGTACCAGCTGCACGCTCCTTGCTACAAAGAAGTTAAAGAGAGAAAACCAGAGCACTCAGAACAAGCCCTTCCTCAGCCAGCATTGCAACACTTAAACTATGATTAGTTATCTCCCCCGATCTCCACTGAGAACTTGCATTCTGATTTCTAACACGTGGTGCCAGGAATTTCTACACCAGCTTGCTGGTTTGGGGAACCTGGGGGTCTCTAATGGGAAACCCTACATGAGGCCATGGCAACTTCCACAACAGACATTGAAAAGAAGAGAAAGCACTAAAGCTGCCAATGCACTCAGGTAAAAACAAACATAAAATCCCAGAATACCCTCAAATAAGCATCATAGCGGCAAAACATAGTTGAACAGTAATCTACTATCTGGAAAAGTCTCTTTTTGGCCTTTTCACAGCAACCCTACACTGCATTAAAAAAGTGCTAAGGTTTAAACAAGTTGGATGATAGGCCCAGAGACCTAGCATGCTCAGATCTGTGAACAATTACTAATCACAGGACTCGTGAAGGAGTTAACTCACCATGAAAAACACAGTTCGAACCTTTGCTTGAATTGTGAGTGACAATGCCCGCGGTAAGTCACCTCTCCCGTGTTACACAGGAGATCTGTGCTATCCACAGACACAGCCTTGGGAGGACTGGGGAGTCCAGGCAGAAGAGAAGAAAAGATGAGGGGGCACCTTCAAGCCGGAGGACTAGGGCTGGGCAAGGGGCTTTGTGTGGCGATGGTGTGTGGGAGGAGGCAAGACAGAACTGTCTTCATCTTGGAAAAGCTGGAGAAAGCAAGGCGATGACTGATGCGAAGGGTACGGCAGTCAAAGCCTAGCCCTCCTTTGTTTTCCAAGAGGAGCTGCAGCCAGCGTATTTTCCTCCAGGCTCCCTTCTAGCTCAGGAGACTGATGGTGGAAAAGAGGACATCAGGTGGAGTATTTTCTGCATAGTGATGGCAATAAGCCTAAAATACTCTCTCCGGCCTGCGCTGCTACATATGCATTGATCAGGGAAAGCAGCTGAATGGAAACTCACTGCTGTCTGGGTGGGGAAAGCCAAACGTGACCATTTCTCTACTTCAAAATCGTATTTCATCTTCTCACAGGAACAGATCCACTGCAGACTGAGCCATATAATTTCAGTCATCTGACTGCCAGCTGGTACCCAAGGCTTTTCACAGGTAACAGACCTACCTGAACTCCTCCTCTTATCCAGATCAAATCCATCTAAGGATACTCAGTGTTCCTGCTCTGCTGCCAGCTGAGTTGACAGAAGTTGTCAGTGAGCACAGTTCAGTTACTGCTATCTACCCAACAACCTTTCTCTGACTGAGAAGCTTAAAATAAGGTTGCAGTTGGAGGAGACTTGAGTAATATGCAATTTTTTAATTCAGCAAGGACTTAACCACTGCATGATGAACTAATTCTGCTCGATTTTTAGGGGTAAATAGTGAGAAAACATGCAGGTTGGTGATCATCTCTCTTCCCCAGATGAAAAATGTGGGTGTGTTCAGCCACAGTTTGGATTGAAGGCTACCACAGCCTCCCAGTAGTGACTTTGCTGGGGTCTGTTAGCAAAATTCTTCACAGCATCCATGTTAGCACGTGTCCACACACTAACAGGTTCTCTCCTGCAGCTAGCCCCGCTAGGAGAGCTTCACAGCAGCCTTGAGTTTTGGGGCAGAAGACTCATGCACATGTATTGCTTATATAACCTAAGGAACCACACAAGAGACCTTCTCCCCGATGCGTTATTTCAAGTGTTGGTACCTTTCAGCTCCCCAAGACAGGCATGTGTTCTGTGAAAAGCACCACTCTGCTTCCCACACAATAGAAATCTCTAACTAGCGTTTCCCTGACGATTTTATGTAATCCACTTTCCTCACAAGATGCACAATGCAGCTCTCCCCCAAGCTCTCCCTCGCCACGACTGCAGCGTGACAGCCTAATACTCAGTAGTGCCAGGAACTGCCTAATAATACTTTTGCACAGAGGTCCCCATAAGAGTGCCTGAAATGGACTTTTTTTTCCTACGCGGTATCATTTAGCAGCAAAACACTTATTCCATGACGTCAGGAACATTTCAAAAATGAAAGTAACAACTTGAAGAGACACCTACAGTACTAATTACCTTCAGGCACCTACTGCAACGTCCCACACTTCGGTGGAACCATCTAGACACTTTCTGGCTACTTTTGGACCCCGGTGAGCTTTGCAAACATGTCTCAATTTACTCCCTTGTTTGTGGAACTGCATCTTCAGCAATGCTGCTGGTAGGAGTCAGCAGCCCCTCAAGACTACGTGACCAGGGGAATCCTCCTTACTGCCAGAGGAGATCTTACTGTTCAGCAACCCTGTTCCAAAGCACAGGATTAAACACCATGGATCAGGCACCAGCAAAAGGCCAGATGTGCGAGTTGCTGTATGGACAGCACAGAGCAGATGAAGGGAGCCCACTCTAAAATCTCTTTCTCCCCCTTTTCTTAGATCCAAGATCTGCTTTTTCCCCACGTAGGTCTAGACTTCACATGGCCATCCTGCAACCAAGAACTGTGGCAGCTCAGTGGCCCAGATGTGGCTGCATTTGCTGTGTTACCCATCGGTTGTTTTACCTTGATGGAAATCCCTTAATGAGTGGTTAGCTGCCTTTAAAGGCAATGTAAATAATCCTTGACATAGCTGAAGCCCACAGAAACCACACTGTGTAATGGGGACACAACTTGAAATTTTCATCTCTATCCTGCACAGACTATTAAGAAAAGGTCTTGCATAATGGGGATAATTCTTTTTGTGCCGTGTTTGAAATAAAGTACTTTTTCACTTAGCAGCTCTTAAGGGCTTCAACTTCACAACAGACAACCCATGGTCCTTGATAGCATGACCACAGAAAATTAATTCTGTGAAGAATTTTGTTACATAAAATCATGCAATTTTGGCATAAGAGGGGATATTAAAATCCATCTGTTCTAGAAAACCACAGAGAAGGGCTTAGGTAAAGCAGGTTTATTTCAAAACCTGCAGGGCTAATTCACACTCTGCCAAGATTAAGAAAATTACGGCCTCCTAGAAAGATATAAGTGAAGATCTGCCCAGTTTCCCACGGCAGGTGAATGGCAGTTATGCAATGTCAGTGTGGTCGCTTAGAGCTGTAACTCTCCTGAAAACACGTGAAGTTGCCTGTGCCGGTGCAAAGAGACGATGCAGGCACTTCATGACCTTTTCCGTTTGTTTCAGAATCACTGAATGTCAGTTTTGTCAATGATTTCGGACACTCAAGACTCCATAAAAACGGAAGGAATAAATAACCCAGGGTTTGGCACTTAAAAAAAAAAATCTTACAGCAGCGCTTTCATGCAATTAGCTGCTTTGAATTAATAAGAGTTAATAAATAATTAAATCATTGTATGTGCTGAAGCAAGTTGTGTTCAAGTAAGCATTTAAAAAGCTGCCTATTTATTTTGTCATTCCTTGCACACAGTAATTAATCATTTACAATGTTTTTTAAGTATTTAAGAGTCAAGTAAGTGGGTGCTGCCATTTAACCATGGGACTGCACCAGGCTTCTGCTGTGATAATTCCCTGTGCACAGAAGGGGAATACTGAGAAATGACTCTTTCTTTGGTGGGGTTATCCCAGTTCTACTACTCAAACTGCAGAAAAGGGTTTTTAAAACAAAGGCTAGTGATTCAGCTTGGGCATAAAGCCTTCAAAGACTCCCCATATCACCAAAGACATGTTGAATGACCTTGGAAAAATCTCTTCCCCTCTCTATATTGCTTCTGTTTTTCTATCAGAATGATGAGGAAAATTAGCTACCTTCTTCGCTAGAAAAATACTATGAATAGACAAAGAATTTTTTATTATATTAATTAGAAACTGTCTAGCATGAATATATGAGGAACGTTCTCTCTCAAGGTTAGCCTGAGTTTTTTTTTAATTAATTTTTTTTTAAACACAGAGCGGTGCATCACATTTCACCACAGCTGACAAAACTGACAGCTCCCCACATCTTTCTGCATTATTTAAACATCATCTGTTTTTGTACAGCTAGGAATGTTCTGAAAGAAAGTGTCATTTCCCATGGGTAGGAACATTTTAAAGAGTTTTTGACTATAGCACGGTCTCCTCCCGAAAAGAAGAGATGAAAGAAAGTAGGAGAAAATCAGAAGAAAAAAATACCCTTATTACAAGTAATGTCTTCAAACTAGAATGCAAAGCGTAGAATGCAGATAGCTTCGTTTCAACAGCTGGGTAGAAGCAAAAAGAATACATGAAAGCTAAGGGTTTGAGAGAAAAAAGACGATGTAGATGGCACCTTCAGAGCTTTGCCAAATGGCTGCAGTTTGCATATCTTAAATACTGGGCAAGAGCTTGGTATACGTTATTGGCTGCAGCACCACAAGCAGCAGGTAATTCGAGTACCCCACCCCACAAAAAACCACATGCAGGAGGCTGACCAGAAGAATAGCCATCTGCCTTGTTTAGTAAAAAATGGTTACGGCCCTTTGTCTCCTTATAAACCACGCACTCCTTGGGGAACCTGTCAGTTGCTTGCACAGTTGGCACTGAACAAGTAAGTCCTCAACGCAGCCAGAGGCTGCACAAGGTTTGGGAAAGCCTCACAGAGCAGAAGAACACGCTAGGAGGAAGCAGCACAGCAAGAGAAGACCAGGCGTGTTCCCACCTCTGCTTCAGGGCAGGAATTTCTGTGGGTTCTGGCTCGAGGATTTCATAGGCTAAGTTAACATCTTCCGTCTCACGAAGCAGCGCATAGATGGGCTCAATCTGCTCATTAAATCTTGCCACGAGTGTCCTTGCATCCTTTTTGGGCATCGCCGACTCATCTTCTTCCACTTCAGTCTCGCAGAAAGTACAGCGGAAAGTTCCTAAAATGAAAAAAAGTTGCTAAGCATTGTAAGGAGACCAACAGGCCCGGCTCTTCATACAGCCTTTTAAACAGCAGTGCTTTGCTGTTCTCTTACCTTGATGCTAAATAGCTTTTCTCCCCCTGACAATCCCTTCCCACACACAGCATACCTGGTTATTATTTCAGCAGACAACAAAGCAAGCATTTTGATGCCATCCGGTGATACCCAGCTGGGTACAGTTTCTCGCTCTGAAAAGCCCAGATGGGCTGCAGTACCTCTACCAAGATACCTCCTAATCTCACATTCTTTCTTGCTGCACATTTTAAATGTCAGCTACAACTGGGCTGCGATAAAAAGCTTCACAATATACTCTTAGGAGTTCAAATATCGTCTGTTTCAGGTGCTAGCACTGGTATCTCCCAGGCCGCATAAACAGGCAAATTTCACAATGAAGCAGGGTGTAGCTTTACACCGCACCAGCCACTCTGCAGTACCTGCTGGTATAACCATTTTCACTCTGCAATTGATGCAGAAAAGATGGCTGCTCCTTCTGTTACAGGGCCAAAACATGAAAAATAGTCATTACTGCAGAGTAGCAAATGCAAAAATTTACCTCACATACCCTCCATGTCAACTTCTGAAATTAAGAATGGCAAGATAAGAGTTGTATGAATGGCAATTAAGAATAAACTTGTCTTACAGACCTCATCAGGATCTATAAAAACAGGTCAAACAAAGGCAACTGAAATGGTTGCATGGCAATGCATTTACAAAAAACTTACTCAACTCCTGCAGAGCAGGCTTTTCTGTTTCATTGCTCCATCTGTGAGTAGGACCCTTAGGGCAGTATATGCACAGTAGGACCTTACCACATGGTCCACTATGAGGGGAGCAGCACAGTGTAATGACTTATCCTTGCAAGTGCTGGACTCAGAACGTTCCTCTGCCTCCTCAGAACGCTTACATCTAGAGGGATGCTCACAGGCTTCTCCACTTCTCTTGTCCCTGTGTGATTTTTTTAATTCATCCGTTCTGTGACACCTATACACATCTAGCACCATCTCTCAACACCACAATGAAGAAAGGAAAAGATCTTACTAATAGGGAGCCTGAGGATAGGTCACATCAGGGAAATTATAAGCTTATGTCTAAAAATCAGTATTAGAATCAGTATTGAAGCCTGCTATATCACCGATGCTATGGACAAACACAGTCGAAAGAATGGGGTTTGCCCAGGGCACAGGGGCATGATGACGAGACAGGCTGGCAAGCCAGGGCTTCTGGTATCTTGCTTTGCTGTTTACACAGATTTGCTAGTCTTGTCACTTCATTTTTCAGCGTACCTCTTTCTCTGCCTGTAAGACAGCGATAAAAACAGACCTGACTTCTTCACTGATGGCTGTGAGGGCTAGACAATACTTGCACCCTGCTTGGAAAACACACAGAAGCACTGTTTATGACAGGAGGTAGATCTGTTGCCTCTCACCACAGTCTGTAGGGATGCAGTCTTCTACCTCGGCACCATCTGAAGTAGCTTTTGCTCATCGTTACGCATAAATTAATGCGAGTGTGTTGTATATGTGGCCTGTAATACGTACACATTCCTTGCGATAAACTCTCTCTTTAGAAAGTTTGTCTTAGTTACATGTAAAAGCTAGAGCACCCAACAGCAGCAGTATGCAAAGTAAAGGGTAAGTGGATAAAGTGCTCTTCTCTCCCATCCAAGCATGAAATACTCTGCTTATTTTTTCAGGCTGTAAAAATTGCCCCTACTGATTAAAAAAATTGTACATTATATAAGCTGTCAGCCCAGCAAAAATTGCAGCCAAAATTTGGTCTCCTTATCCCACATCTGAGGCTATCGGCGTGATAAATTGGCAAACAAGTTGAATCAATTTAAAATAATTAGCACATCTCAGTTCCCATAGTGGACTAAGTGAACAAACACAGGTTAATAAGGAAAACTCTCCTCTTTTTACACCCCTCCTGCAAAAGTCTGGTTACACGTTCCTGAGACAGCTCAGACTTTTCACGCTTCCATCTGTGAACCCCATGAGTATTTGCAAAAGATTAAGATCGTAGGGAGAATGGTTCCAATTCAGAGTACCAAAAAATCAGAAAGTAAATACAACTCTAATGAAACGGAACTCCTAAAGCGATCATGGATTTGCCGCAACTTCCACCCCTCAGGGTTCTTAATAAGCAAAAAAAAAGTTAATAGATGAATTATGTAAAGAATCTGGGAATGAGTGAAATGACAAGCTTCCTCCATTAATATGCTGATTTTTTTCAAGGTGATGCAGCATTTCACAAGAGGCATATGTGATTACAGAACTGGGAAGCTGCTTTGCCATGGCAGATGGCATTTATGTCTTGCAAACCTCTTTTGTTAGACTTTAAGAGGTCACAAAATGTCACCGGAGCTTTTATGACATGGCACATCACATCAGCAGTGACACATGTTCCTCACAGATATGAATTGCATGTGACAAACATGAAGTGGAGACCATCCAAAGGCCGAGAATGGCAACATTCCCACTCCAACGATGTATTTCTTCCTTCAGCCCTTACACAACTGGTAGTTTTCCATTCAAATATGCTGCATAAACGAGGACAAGCAGATATCCTGGAGCGAACAGACATGAGGCTTTCGTGCATCTTGAAAATGCTAATGGAGAACACATACATCCCCTCCTTTCCACACATGCTCAGGCACTCAACAGACCTCTCTGGCTGCACGTTAAAAACCAGCCATCTGAAAAAGATCTCCTCATCTGCTCCCAGACCCTCCAGGGCAGACACACGGGTAATCTGGCTCCCCAAGGCATACTAAGATTAAAGCAGCTGAAGCTCTGAAGTATGGGGCCAGAATATTTAGAGATAATTCCTAATGACTTGATTTCACTTGAGAGAAGGAAAAGGTCAACTGCCCACGCGCACTGCGTGCATGGTGTCCAAGCGCACATGCCGCATCTGCTGTAATTAACACATTTAACTGGCTACAGCCTCCTGAGTCTGAGCCCGGGTCTCTCTCACACCCTTCTCAAAGCTTGGTTCAAGCCTCATCTCCAGCCCAACAAGGACTCTTCCTTCCACTCTGTCCTTTGGGATACTGCCCTAGACTCTCGCTACTCTGATACTTACACACTATTTCACTTTCAACCTAAACTTATTCCCATTCATTTCAAACCTATCTCTTGTTGTGCTCCAAACTGTGCCTCAGGTCAGCTAGCTTCCATCTTGCTGTTAACCCTTCAGGTGTATTTACAAACTGCTGTCTTACTCATCTCTCCACCTTCATTTTGCAATGCTCAATAAGCCACACTTTTTTTTTTTTTGGCCTTTTAAATCTGGCCACTCATTGCACTGACCATGCTAGCAGCCTCACTGGGACTTTCTCTGGTTTGTTCTCATCTTTCTGCTGTAAAGCTGAAAGTATATACAAGTGTCCAGATGAGCTCTCCCAAAAGCCCAGTGGCATTAGTGCTTCTCTGATAGCCATCGAGACCTTTTAAGATCACAGTGTATAACAGATCATGAAAGCGCTGCCTCAATTATCACAAAATCTAGCAACACTCCCAGATCTTTCTTCCTCCTTTGTAGTTTCCAGTTGATGAGCTCCGCGTTTATAGGAGACATTTGTGTTAGATGCTAGGTGCATGGCACTGTATGTTATACTATAATCTTTCTGCTCCTTTTTATTCCTCTGGCCTTCATCACAAAACATTAAGCTAATTTCTTTTCAAAATCTCCCACAACCTTCTTTTAGAAGTAGCATTATTACCATTACATGGAGAGCGAGCTAAGGCACAGATGGCACAATTTCAGAAGTATCTGCTGATTTGAGCAGTACTTGAATCGAGATGACGAAGAAATGCTTTTCTGAAACTTCTGTTTCAGCAAAGAGCATGCAGTATTTTTACTCATCTTCTTCCAGGCTCTAGAATTGGGCACCTCAGGCGAGTTAGGTACAACAGCTAACGATAGCCTTTGAAAAGTTTAGCTCAAAATGACTAGTCCAACACCACACAGAAAGTCAGCTGGCCTGCAGGATCAGATGATATTCCTGTGGCTACTACAGCCACGTTCTTCAAGTAATTCCCTGACTCTCACACTGCATGTTTTTCCTCCTTCTGCAGCAAGCCAGGGAAAAAGTGCATTATATGCACACAGCTCATCTCTGTTACTGAGCAAAGCATACGTTTTGGGGGGGGGGAAATTTATGCAGTAGAGAAAAAGTTACAGGATGTATAAGCAACTTTAATTTCAGCACTCTCTAACCCCGAGTGCTTCATGTGATGTTAAAAAGAGTACTGAGAGCTTGAGGAAAGGACAGGAGTTTCCTCTAGCTTCCTACCAACAGGAAGCCAGACAGATGCTTCCAGCCATATGGTTAATCTGCAGACCTGGAGCCCTCAGTTGCACACAGGCCTCCGCCATTTGACTTCATTGTGAGAGAGAAGATGACAACCTGGTAGTGCTGGGCAGATCAGCGTCAGGGGGAGCAGGATGCCTTGCCAGCTTGATTCACGGCAATAAAGGGAGGATGAGAAGGTAACACCTCGGGGTCCTGCTCTAGCTGCTCGGAAGAGATGTGCTTTGTGGGAACCTGCTGTCCTACCTGCTAGCCCCAAGCCTGAGGTTTCCTACCCAGTTCTTCCCATCTGCTCCCACCCCAGTTCCTGGCTTTTCCCCACTCTGATGATCCTGTTTTCCTTGCTAGCCAGTCCTGGTCTATTTAGCCCTTTCTCAGCCTGGGCTTCTCTCACTTCTCATACTTCCATGTCCATCCTTCTTTCCCTGGGCTACTTTTTCCAAGCTCAGCCTCTCCCCACTCTCATGCCTCTCTGCCCCATGCTGTGGTCAGCTAATTCTGCTTCTTAATTTGAGCCCCAGTCATCAGATTAATTTCCTGTTTCAAGCCAGAGAGATAGAAGATCTTTTCACAGCACAACCTGTCATTCAGCACAATATAGCACAGGCAGAGGAATACACATTTCTCTGGTCTTCTCTTCCGT